CCGCAGCGGGCGGGTGCGGGGCCCGGTCGGGGCTGACGGCGGGGAAACCTGCTCGGAAACTCGCCTGGCGTTTCCAGAGAGGCCCCTGCAGCCGGTGGCCCCCGTTGTCCCCCCGGAGTCGCGGGTCCGCATGCACGCAGATCCTCGCATCTGCGTCCTCGCCTCGACGACGAGGGAGAGCTTCCCCTGTCCCCACAGCCCCCTTCAGAGACCCCTGCCCGCTGCCGAGAAATGGAAGGATAATATTCCTTGTGGAGACAGAGAGAAAATAAGGCTCCCTCCGTCCGTCTACACCTTCTCGTACCCAGCCCCTGGGGGCCAGCCCGCTGCCAGGCCGCGGCGCTCGCCCGGGGGTGAGCTCTTTCACGGGGCGGCCGGTCCCCACCAGAGCTTCCCCGCAGTCCTCGGTGCTGCGCAGGCTTCCCGGGCACCGGGGGGCTCAGTGGCTTGGCTCTGAGTCCTGCTGCCAGCAATTAAAGCTGTTAGAACTATTTGGATATTTTGCTTTCTGTTTTTATAGCTGAGTAAATCAATCTGGTGCTCATAAAACAGGTTAATAGCACTAACTAGAGCCGCTCGCCAGCCAAGCTTTTGCTGCACGGCCTTTCCAGCTGTCTTCTACACTTGCTGCATCCTCAGATGCCGCAGTTTTCACACCAGATGAAACTGGATGAACCTCATCTACGTTCTGCAGTGTCGCGGCTCACCTCACTGCAGCCTGGGGCCAAGTGCTTTGCCATTTCATTCGATGAAATAGATTCAGTAGTACTAAAATGCTAAAAGAGCAGCTGCCTCGAGATTGCAGCTTCAATAGCATTAATATTTCCTTACCAGGGTAAATAGAGCATTTTTAGAAATAACACTGATCATTTTCCCCTCTGGCTGTTTGGCAGGATGTGTTACTGCTATTAAAGGGGACGGACAGCCCTATTACAACACTTCTTATCAAGCACAGTTTAAGGGTGAATGGAGTCCCCCTGCAAAGCCAAGTGAAAAGGTAACAGCGTGATTTTTGGGGAGGACCAAGACGCAGCTGAAGGGCAGCACGTTCCCATGTTGAATTCTGTCCTGAAAGGGGTGGGATCCGTGCAAAGTGAAAACCAGAGGGATGGAAAGACAGAGAGGGGAAACAACGGGATTGTGCTCTGAGTGGCTGTTCTGTAGCTCTCTTGGCTTCCCTTCAGCACATGTCCTCTATTAAATTTGGGGATCCCAGGAGCAGCGGATCTATGAGCGAGCAGAAACGTGCCTACAGTGCCCCAGACAAGAGGACACAGAGGTACCAGCAGGACAACCTGATGGGCATCCCCAGGAACTGCTCTCTCTGATGAACGTTGCTAGTTAAACAGCTCGTATCTGGTATCTTGCAGAGTCTATGACAAGGGACGTGCTGCCTCCCGCATCCACTGCACAAACCTGCAGCTGGGGGATGGCTGCACCAGATTCTCCACCTCGACGTCAGAGCAATTCCCAGTACATAACCTAGGTAGGGGAGGTCCCTGATAAGGGGCAATGTGTACAGACCGCTACTGGGGTTTATAAGAAGCCGGACAGTAGCTTTTATCACTTAGGTTTAATGATATAATTATAGATAAAGATATAATGCCTTCATATAATATGTATATAATTTTATATTTTTAATTTTTTATAGTTTTTATGTAGTCAGCATCAGTCTCGTCACTGTGAGGCTCAGTTTCATCCTCACTCCCCTTCCCTGGCAGGTTAAACAGCTGTATTCATTCCTGTGCTTTACTGCGTGAGGAGAAGCTGCTGTAGCTATAAATTGTTCAGAGACCGGAGTGCTCTGACATCCTTCACTCTCGCTTTTGCCAGAGCCTGTAACTATTGCCCGTCCAAACAAATATGCCTCATCCATCCCCAGAGGCGACGAAGACCCTGAGAGAAATCAAGCGTTGACAAGAACGACTACTACACAGCTCTTCTACCCAGAGGTCTGTTCCCAGCTTTGCTGTGCAGGTGTTTCTCTGGCGGAGGCCCTCTCTTCTTTTATGTACGCTCCTCTGGCACCTAAAGCCAGTGCTGTTGTCCCTTCTCCCCTCCCGCTCTGGGCTGTGCAGGGTGTAACGTGTAATAGGGCGCCTTTCCCAGCTACAGCCTGTTTCTGTTAAAGCAGCTCTTGCGTTCTGCAGGCTGACAGGTGGATCCTCGCACCGAAGCCTGACTTGCTACTACAGAAGCATGGAAGCAACATTTGCTTGGGAGATGAGCGTTCAGGCACCCGTTTCTTCAGCACAACACAGCAGTCCGACTATCGACCACCCCACCAGAGCCAGAGGGTGACGGCAGACAGCAAGAGCCATCGTGAGAGCCACATCCCCTTCAACTACCACAGTAAGGCCGCGTTGCTCAGACTCTCGTGGTGGCAGGTGAAGCCTAGCTCTATGCTAGGCTAGCTCTGTGCTCTGAGGTTCTCCTAGCTCTGTGCGAGGGACAGCGATGCCAGTGCTCTGGGAGAGGATGCAGCCCAGACGTCTTGGGTTGGAGATGGCAGGAAGGCACTGGTGCAGCGTCATGCCTTTAGTAAAATGAGACTGTCACCCGCAGACCAGGCAGGACAGCCGTGCTCAGCCCCGTGCCCACTGCTGCGGGTTCTCACAGCGCCTGCTAATCTCGGGCACTTTCACCTCCCCAAATGACATCTCACCTTGATGCCTGTGCCAGCCATAGGCATTCGCTGCCGTCGTACAGCAATGTTTAGCACATTCAGGTGACATAAATGATTTCTGGGACATGAACCAGTGGCTTGATCTTTCTCCTTTGCTACATTTGTTTTGAGAAGTTGCTTTGCATCTGTATTTGGGAGGAAGGAGAGGATTTTGTTCAAAAGCTGTGTTTATGCAACCTCAGGAAGGGATGCGGTTAGAGCTGGTCATGGAAGGCATTAACAAAATCCTCCTCTGACGTCGCCTCCTGTTTCTGATGGCCAGTACTCTGCAGCTAAGAGCGAGCTCCCTTCATGCCATGTATCTGGTTTTAAGCCATTTGTTTTACTAAATGTGGAACAGATCACGGTTGAATTGATCTTCTCCTTGGCCCCAAGCTTGTGGAACAGCTCCATAACTAGCATATGGAGTGATATTCCTGTACCTTCCATGTGAATTTCTTCATTTATCTCCTCACCCTGAGAATTGTTTTCTGTCTGGGCAAAGGTTTTCAGCAAGTGCTGACAGCAAAGCCTGTCTTTTCCTCTCGTTAATGGAAATGCAGAGAGATCTGGACTGCAGGTTAAACTGCAAAGCTTTTCTGATATTGCCTCCTAATTTACTGGCTTGAATTTACTTTTTATTTCAATTCCATCTGTCAGCAGATGAAAGTTCTGTGACAACCACGCAGGCCATGCTGGTCCCACACAGACAGCAGAAACGACGACTCCCTGAAGACATGCTACAGCAGGTACAGCCTTAATAGGCTTGGATTTACCACGGGGCGGCTTGGGGAAGCAGGATTATACCAAGCAAAGCTGTAGCCTCCCAATTAACGTCATCAGATTTGGTGTGTGCTCTTGAGCTGCTTGAGAGGGGACAGCCACGCATCAAATCCTGTCCGCCTCCAGTCTCAAGTAAATGCTCTGTGGGGAGCAGAGTCGTAGCTGAGAAAAATCTTTGAAGGGAGAAGAAGGATAGGCAACCAAGTCCCTAAGCCAAGGAACACTGGAGGGAGGGGAAGGGTGATTCTGGTCCCCCCCAGAGGATCAGAGGAGGAAAATTGGCATGGCTAGAGGCGTCCAGCTGGGGTAAACATCTCTTTGTAGCACCGGCAGAGAAGGCTGTGCATCTGCCAGAGAGAGAGGATGCAGCCAGGTGCCAGGGGGGTGACCCTTCAGGTAGCAACACAGGGCTCGGATGTTGGGGCTGCCAGGTTCCACGTTACCACCTGCCTCTTCCCCAGCCCCGTCCATCTGCTGAAAGCTTTTCTCTCTCCTCAGATCAAATGCTCACACCTGGGGCTACCCTGGAGGGCGCAGGACCTCTTCAGCACTGAACAGAAAGATGCGTTCACGCCCAAGTCCAGAGGCCCAGCAGAAATCCCAAAGGCGACCTCCCAAGTGAGCTGCGTCCCGCTGGGGACCCTGAAAGGATACCGTCCCCAGAGGAAGGTGCTCTTTGCACCATGATGTTCTTCCTTCTTCAGTGACTGCCCAGAACTTGCTGCACTGTGGACTGCCTACACGTCGTGTTACCTGTTAGCTGTCCTGGTGCCCTGCTCTTGGCCTGTCTGTGCGTTATTACAGGGAACATTTATTTCATGAGTTGAATAAGGACACAAGAAGGTGTTGTGACAGCAAGAATAAACATTGGGAGATTAGCCCAAAGACGTGGGTGACACATCTCTCTGGATTGCAAGACCCACTGAGTGCCTCCAGGCAGGCGCTGGGGTGGGAGGAAGCAGGTGGGGTAGGGGGAAGCTCAGAGAAAGGGCAAGCGATCAGAAGCAAAGTGAGGGGCACTGTCAGGACTGTGTGTGGGCTGGAATATTCCCTCATTTTGTGTTTGGATTTTGGTGTCAAGGCCTGAAACCAAAGGTCAGTGAACAGCAGGGCAGAGGTAGCCCTCCCCAGCTTATGATGAGTGGGCTGTTTTCCTAGAGGTGAGCCGTGTATTGTTTTTGAGTTGGTAACTCGTGGGTTTCCTGAATGCTGAGCTTGCACTAACTCTGTTTGGGATGTAGGTATTTTAAAGAGGGATCGGCGTGGGCCTGTCAGCCCCAGCCCTTGGGAGGCCGAGCAGGATCAGCTGCTGCCTGCTCACAGCTGCCGCTTCACAAGCTCTTCTCAGCCATTTGATTCACGTGCTGTGAGCCAGCACCGAAGCATTTGAGCACGGGTTACTAAACCATTTCCAATGGCTGCAGCTTGCATGTGAGCAGTAGCTGGGCCCACGATCCCCCTGTGCTTTCCTCTCGGGATTTGACTCTACATCCCGCGGGAAAGGGACGGTCTTTGCTCCACGTGTACTTCAAAGAAAACTGCGTACTCAAGTCTTGCAAATGCACGCAGGCACCTCGGATCAGTATCTTACGCCGGTACATCGCAAACACCTCCATTCAAACGCCTCGACTGCATCATTTGCTGTAGTAACGGGGACTTGCATCTGCTACCAGTCTGCCCCATTACTTTTATGTGACCCTGAGGTGACGTTGCCACCTGTGCTACCGCAGAAACAGCCGCGGTTCACTGGGGATAAATGGTGAACATCACCCTTTTGGTGGAACCAGCTGGCTGGCGAGCTGTTGCTGGGAGGACCCTGTGGTTATTCACTTCCTTTTTCATGTGGATTTTGATGCAACTTCAGACACAGAAAGTAAAACTGGCTTTTGGGGTCTTTGCTTTCTAAACTCCTTTCCCATCCCTTCCAGCAACGCCCCAGGA